AGAAAGGTACTAGGAGAGGTAACGAAAATGGTTATGCTTAGATTGTCAAGCATTGATTCCAATATTCCTCCTCCAAAGTCCGCATCAGCCCAAATTGTAGACTTTGGATTACAAATCTTTTAATAATTAATTCTTGGAACAGAAACTACCTGTTGAACAAACGCGGCAAATGAAATCCAAATGGAATTTCCCAAAGTAAATCGTCGATTGTAATACCGCTTCCCAGTCAGAGGATCCTTCATCACCTGCCACTCAGTTGGACTGATTCGGGCAATCACGTAGAGACCCAAACTCACTGTGATCCACGCACCAAATATCGCATACCAAACGGCATTTGATAGGGGCCTCAGAAATGACAAACTTCCTGACTTTTGTTTCCCCGGTTTCTTAATGATCAGGGATAGACCGAAGGCGAGAAACGGTTCAGAGAACTCTACAACCTGAGCTCTTAGGTAGTTCACTGTGAGTGGCGCCACCACCAAGTCAGCCGTGTTATTCAAAATCTCGCCAATTAGTCCGTTCCACACCTGAAGCCTCCGAGTCTCCACACGTCGATCCACAACATTGCTTAGTGGCCGTCTTGACAACACTTCCACACGCTGTGGAGGCATTTCTCCTATTTTTGTTCCAAAAATTCCATCGTATACAATGTGGATGTCGTATTTGAAGCCAACTATCTTACTAATTTCCTCCAGCAGGTCCACACAGAACCCTTCGAATCGATCGATTCCTTGAGCCGGAGGCGCTCCAAGTTTACGAGGCTTGGGTTGAACAAAGGGCTTAGACCAAATGGTCACCACACGGATGGTGCGATTGCGGTAGTCAGCTAGGCGCTGCCTGTCGATGATGACAGAAGGGTCAAAATCCTCCTCCCATACTTGAGGAAGACGCTCGCCACCTTCAAAGTCATCACTCGGCTTTGGCGTAGTGTCGACCGCCTTTGCAATGAGTGGAGGCTTGAAGGCATCAAAATTTAAGTGAGTTGTTGGGCTCCACTACAATAAAAAAAGGGAAACAAAAATCACTTAAAATGCCAATGATTCTCAGACTGGAAATATTTGAACGCCTGCTTATTTGAGGATTAAAATAGAACGATTCCTACTTAACATAAACTGGCAATGAACGGATGCCACACCAGTACCAACTGCAAAACTGAAACTCTCAGCATGGAATTCAAGCCTCTTTAAAACTGAAGAACGCATGTTTTGGCGCAAGTTAAGCAAATTTGTTGCAGTGCACATACTAGGCGGCAGCACTTGGCCCTGACAGCCCTCAGCACAAAAATGACCACCATGAAGGGTCACTCCAAATGTTGTTGCTAGTCAGATGGTTACAACGAAGTCGGTTTGTGTTTACTTTTGCATAGCAGATGACAGCCGTAGACTACTGTAAGCGGGGCAAAAGTCATTTCAGCGTGCCGACACTTTCCACAGGGAAGAGAAAGTTAGCAAGTTGAGCTGTTTGGATGTATTCCAAGGAGAAGACATTAATTAGACCTGAGCGTAGCCCGAAGGTCAGCCCACGTGTACAAAGGCCAGACGAATCTTACAATAGCCGCCAGACATCAGGTGGTCACACATACAAATTACTACAGTCATCACAATCATTATGCAAGGCGAGGTGTTTCCGTCCAGTCGCCATCACCCACATCCGTCCGAGGTGTTTGTTTGAATGTGTCGGGAATGGGTCAGCGCGTAGAGACCTCGTGGCTAATCTGAGGTCAATGCCTCCGGTGTGGAAAAGTGATTCGGTTGTATGACCCTGTGTACAGCACATTTTAGCTATCGCTACACTACAGTCTAATAAACCCTATTTACAGTTGTCATCTTTTTTGTTATCCATAGTGACAATCTGAGGGTGTGCCGAACTTCCTTAAATCTTTAAAATATGAGCTCAAATGCATCAATTTTAAATATGTATATGTGTGTGTTATAAATCTGGGGGGTAGCTAAAACAAAATATCAAAACTAAAAGTCCCGAAAGTAGACATAATGCTTGACTTCAGCATCTATCCTCTGTCAAACCTTTATCTTGATGATCCATCAGGAATTAAACCGTCATAACTTCAAAATGACCTTTTACCAAGTTTTTTTTTTACAAATTCTAACATTGTTTACTTACTTTTAATACGCTGGCGTGCGTATAAATAGTTAGAATTAATTGCATAAAATACAACTTGTATAAAACAGACACGTGTTTTAGTACCTTTAATTTAGGTGTTTTTGTAATTATAGTAAATGTGTTTAATCCACTTTAGCAAACTGGCTCGAATTTAAGCAATAGAGAGCTATTTGTTGCTTCATGTAGGAGACTAAGAACTGTAAATGCGTTTAAGAAAGGTTGATTAGTGAGAATTTCTCCATTATTGACGTTCTGAAACACTTAACGGACTCAAATAGGGCCTTGACCTGGGCGTGGGGCATGCTACTTAATTGCAACGTCCCCTTTCGTAATTTACACCTTAAACTTTTCCCAACTGCTTGGCTCTTGTGGCAGTAGGGGGTCCAATTTGAGCGGCTTCTTGATCCCCCACTCTGTAAGATTGGCAACCATATTTGTGGATCTTTCAGTTGCTTCGTGATAAAATGCCACCTTACTGCTTCTCCGAGAGGAGATCGGGTTGCTCCTCCTCGAATGATGCCAAGTTAGACAGGTATTCAAGATGCACATCCAGTTCTCTTTTCCATTCAAAACACTTGTAGAAGTTAAAGCATTCTTTGC